AGACCTGTACCATGTGATAGCTGTGGTCAATCACAGCAATCACAGTAGTACACAATGACACATGAATAAACACCGTTCATAAAAATGATTCCTTATAACCGTGATCATCACTGTACTAAACATGTATACTATAAAACAAAAATCCTGATCACCTCCCTAGAGCAGTACGTTGTCACTGCGGTGACACTGTACTGGTCTGGTCAAAGTATAAATATTTTCAAAATTAAAAAAATATAGAAAAAACTGAAAAAATTATATATATTTATGTCACCAGTAGGTGTCCCTGTTCACCACCACACCAGTCACATGATGATGCTGTATCACACTGGTGACAGAATGTAAAAATATGTGAAAACAAAATGTTTGTCTTTATTTTCCAAAAACTGTTGACAAAAAAAATTGAACACCCCTCCAAATCATTGGATCCAGGTGTTCCAGTCACCTCCATGGGCACAAATGTATAAAATCAAGCACCTAGGGATGCAGACTGCTTCTACAAACATTTGTGAAAGAATAGGTCGCTCTCAGGGGCTCAGTGAATTCAAGCGTGGTACCATGATAGGTTGTCAATTGTGCAATAAGTCCATCCGTGAAATTTCCTTGCTACTAAATATTCCACGATCAACTGTTAGTGGTATTATAACAAAGTGGAAGCAACTGGGAACAACAGCAACTCAGCCATGAAGTGGTAGGCCACGTAAAATGACAGAGCGGGGTCAGAGCATGCTGAAGTGCACAGTGCGCAGAAGTTGCCAACTCTCTTCAGAGTCAGTAGTTAAAGACTTCCAAACTTTGTTTGGCTTTCAGATTAGCACAACAACAGTGTGAAAGAGCTTCATGGAAAGGGTTTTCATGGCCGAGCAGCTGCATCCAAGTCTTACATCACCAAGTGCAATGCAAAGTGTCGGATGCAGTGGTGTAAAGCACACCGCCACTGGACTCTAGAGCACTGGAGATGTGTTCTCTGAAGTGACGAATCATGCTTCTCTCTCTGGCAATCCAATGGATGCATCAGGGTTTGGCAGTTTCCAGTAGAATTGTACTTGCCTGACTGCATTGTGCCAAGTGTAAAGTTTGGTGAAGGGGGATTATGGTTCGGGGTTGTTTTTTCAGGGGTTGGGCTTAGCGCCTTAGTTCCAGTGAAGGGAACTCTTAAGACGTCAGCATAACAAGGCATTTTGCACAATTTCATACTCCCAACTTTGTGGGAACAGTTTGGAGATGGGTCTTTCTTGTTCCAACAAGCCTGCGCACCAGTGCACAAAGCAAGGTCCATAAAGACATGAATGAGCGAGTTTGGGGTGGAGGAACTTGACTGGCCTTCCCAAGACCTCAACCCAAGAGAACACCTTTGGGATGAATTAGGATGGAGATTGTGAGCCAGGCCTTCTCATCCGACATCAGTGCCTGACCTCACAAATGCGCTTCTGAAAGAATGGTCAAACATTCCCATAGACACACTCCTAAACCTTGTGGACAGCCTTCCCAGAAGAGTTGAAGCTGTTATAGCTGCAAAGGGTGGGCCAACTCAATATTGAACACTACAGCCATTAAAGTTGATGTGAGTGTAAAGGCAGGCAACCCAATACTTCTGGCAATATAATGTATATATACCATAGATTGTGGACTCTATAACTTTTACAGGGAGTAAATAATATACACTGATTTGAGTTATTGTTTACCGAAGAAATGTAGTAGAGTACATATTGTCCTAAATTTATAAAGAAAGATTATATATTTGCTAAATTTTCAGCATTTTTTCATTTACAGTATGTAGAAACAAAAAAAAGATCCAGTGGTGATTAAATACCACCAAAGGAAACCTCTACCTGTCTAAAAAAAAAATGATAAAACTTTTGGTACAATGATGCATGACTGGCATACAAAGTGTGATAGCGCTGAAATCTGAAAATTGGCCTTGGCACGAAGAGGTTGAAAGTGTCCGGTACTGAACTGGTTAAATTGTGATTAGTTAAAACAGCCATGAAAGTTCCTGTGCATGTGCAAAATACAACTATGGAAGAATTCCTAGAAACGTCCAACTGCCATACTGCCATAGCCATCCTATAAGCAATTGATGATGCCCGTGATTTCAAAACGCTTTCCTAAAGCAACAAAACATACAACAGATGTGTTCAAGTGCCATTCATTTTAATGTCACCTAATGTATAGGGAGGATAGTACTTCCTGCTCAAGTTCCTCTCTTTTAAAGGAAACTTGAATAATTAACTTCAGATGAGATAAGGCCCTGAATTATGTTTATTGTTGCATATTTGTATATGGGGAATACAGTGTCCGCCTTCCCTGTATCCCGCTCTTCATAGAGTCTTTTCACTGCTTATATAGCCCTTCTTATCAAATAGAGACAGATCACATTAAAGGTTCACATTGGAAGGCACACACCCATCCTAAAATATCACACATGCCAAATGGCACTATGACAGTCAAGATATGTGTTTTGCAATGAACAACTTTGAAATATATGAAGTTATAAAAAACATTTCTGATGAGACAAAATGGAGTATACAGCAATCTTATAACATCCTATATATGTGATTCAGTAAGGATCATAGTTATCCCTGTACACTAAAAACGAGGTGCTGTTCTGCTACGGTTGTCACAAAATAAATCACTGCAAACCGCATTGTAAGAAACGTGTCACCCAAAAGAAGCTCCTGGACTTCTTGTGGTTTGCAGCACTTGCAGTGTGTTTTTACGTGCCATTAAAATGACTGGCACCTGAACACGCTGTCACGGCAATTCTGCCCATGATCCAAAACACCCAAGTGTGAATGGGGCCTTATCATCACATTTTCAATTGCTTTTTCAAGTATTTTCAAGCGGTTTGTGGAGCAAAATTGCACGTTTTTGTAGCTTTGTCAGGTGTTTTTTCAGACAATTTTAAATTAAAAGGTGTGGAGTGTTTTTGAAAGAGGGGCATAGAGCTGCTATTTTAGCAGAAAACATGCGGCAAGCAGGGGCGGACTGACAACTCATGGGGCCCCCGGGCAATAGGGGATCATGGGGCCCCTGTGTCCTTGCCCAAACTCAAAAAAGCCTATGAAAAATGTACCAGGGGCATCTCATGGGGCCCCCTACTGACCCCGGGCCCTTGGGCAGTGCCCAAGTTTCCAAATGGTCAGTCCGCCCCTGGCGGCAAGACGCTTGAAAAAAACACTCAAAACTCACGTTTTTCATTGAAGTCATGGGGACATAATCGCTCAGTTCTGCCTAAAAAGTAGTCCATGTACTTTTTGAGCAACAGGATGCTCAATTGTGAACATGGACTATTAAAAACAATAGGTTTTTGCTTGTTGAGCATTTTGTAGCTTGTAGCTTGAAGCTCAAAAGCTAGTGTGAACAGGACCTTAGAATTACTTACAGGCCCATCCTTTGACCCCCCACTCCACCTGGAAATTCTAACTGGTAACTGTTCTTGCGGCAGCATTTCCCGTCGAGGAGACTGGTCTCCTGGTTATCTGTTCACAGAGTGACTGGTCTCCCCACTGCCTCAAATAGGTTCTAGTCACCTTGTCACAATTATCTGAAATAGGAGGAGTATCGAAAGCCTGCTGTGTAAAGGCAATGACAAAGGATCAGAGAACTTCCTTGTCATTGCCTCCATACAGCCACTAGCAGCACTGCACTGAGAGAGAAGGGTAAGCATTTCCCAATGCTTTGCCAAAAAGTCCCAAACACAAGCTTGGAATATTGCCATTACTGAAATCAAACATGGGTACATTTGGCTCATTCCTAGTCAAAACTAGTCCTTCCTAAGTCCTTCCTATGTAAGAATACTGGGCAGGTTAGTGCAATATGTAAGTAATACCACAACTAAGAGTGTGTACAGAGAAATATACCTTCACACTTTCCCCACAGAATTTTCACTGTGAAGCTCTGTTTCCTTTGCTCACCTCTACTAAACCCAAGCCCTCTTGCAGTGGTGTTGGTGGCACACATAACACATTTAACACTGGCTTTTACTGGCTACCAATTAATTAGAAATCTAAGCAGCTGAAGAATGCAAGTCAGAACAAGACTGGTTACTGTAAAGCAACACAAGCAGCCTTTATTTGAAACACTTTGATGACTGTGGCCAACAGTGACAAGAAGATGAATTAGGCTTGGAGCAATCCCATTCTGTCATAATTTTTATTCATGCAAGATTCAGAATGTTTTTGGCAGTTACATTTTAATGCTGATTTAAGCATGATTTAAAAGTGTTTAATTTACCCTTAAATAGATTTTATATCATATTCTTTCATACTAATTTAAATCTATAAATCGTAGGTCAGTGGATTTTTAACCCTTTAGAGTTCCATTTTGCTGGATTGCTACAGATAACAAACAAAGAGTCCCTGAGGCTCAGTGCTGTTAAGGCAATCTAATGACATATGATCTCAGTTCTCATAAGTGATTTTATATATATGGATATGTGAAAGCCTGGAATCACCAGCCAGCCGTATCGATAAAAGCAAACAGTCCTTGTGTTTTCAAAAATAGGTAAAACAGAAAATGGCTTAACCTCAGCGAGGAAAAACAAATCAATTTCAGCTACACAAATAAAGGTTCAGCTCAAAGCCAGTGACATTCATTCCTTAGGCCTCATGTACACATGTACACTCCTGTAAACGCTTAGCTCTCCTGGCAGCAGAAAAATGCTAAACGTGGCACAGTACCACATTTGGCCATGTTTAGCCATGTTTAGCGCTTGGACATTTATTCATTTTTTGGTCAGAGTATTTTTCATTGACTACCCAAGCACTTTGGCCAAAACGTTACTCTCCTGCACTCAATTCTTCTGCGTTCAGGAGAGGAACATTTAACTGCCCCTAAACTCTGCTGCTCCTAAACTCTGGTAAAAGGCTATGTGTACGTGGAAATACATAGGCTTTTACTGAGTTGAGTTCAGGGGCTTTGGCAAAAAAATGCCAAAAGCTCCTAAACTCACATTTAGGAGCAGCACTGTACACAAGGCTTTAAAGCCTTCCCACTATACACATAAATGCGGCCTCATAGTGGGTGGGCTTTATGGCAGAGAGGCCGCATACAGTATATGCATCCCAAATGAAAACATTTCTGTGTGGTCCCAGCCAGGGGCGGACTGACAACTCATGGGGCCCCTGGGCAATAGGGGATTATGGGGCCCCTGTGTCTTTGCCCAAACTCAAAAAAGCCTATGAAAAAGGTACCAGGGGCATCTCATGGGGCCCCCTACTGACCCCGGGCCCTCAGGCAGAGCCCGAGTTTCCAAATGGTCAGTCCGCCCCTGGTAACGGCACAGTTACCGGTGGGTACTGAAAAGCTCCTGATGCATACTTGCGATTGGGAGCTTTCAGATCATGTGGCCACTGTGACTGCCAATCACAGCGGTCACATGATTTGAATGGCCACCTCCACCTCCCAGCATTCAGAACCACTGGCGGGAAGGGGTTAACAGGGTTTTTGAAAGTTTCCACCTGCTTGAGGGGTCCCAAACCGGAGCCCTCTACAGTTCAGCAACCTCTCAGTCACAAGCTAGTCCACATTGCTCACTCTGCTGTGTTCTCTCCACTTCACAGACACCTGCTGCCTGTTTCCTATTCTTCTTCTGATCTATGCTACAAATGGTTAGCCCTTTTGTGACCAAAGTCCCTGTAATCAGGCTTTAGAGAATCTTTCACACCCATAGTCTTTCTGAACCTCTAAATTCTGGGTACCAAATGAGGACCTACCAATCCTGAGAGAACTGTAAATGAGTCCTCTCCTCTCCAAGCAGATTACCCTGGAACTCCTCAATCTGCATAAGTGAGAACCCATGAATACTCAAAAATTCCTACAATTCGTCCCCTTTAAAAGGACCACAAGCGAAACAGCGTGAAAATATTGATATAGCAATATGCAGTGCTAGTATGATAATAATCCAATAACAAGATATATAGTGAACGGATGCACGATAATATCCAAATATTGCACTGAAATTAAATGATGAAAGCATATTGCACTATAAATATATGATTATAAACATATGTATATATAGTGCCCAAGAGTGCTAGACAAACTGTGATCCAGTAATTATGTGACTGGATGAGAATATGAATAAATAGTGAGCACAGATATTGCACAAAAAAGTAAATGTAAACATAGATAAATAAATTAATAAATAAATAAAGTTCATAAAGTGGCAAAAAATGCTCAATAATCCATAATCAAGTAAACTCGTGACTGGATGAGAATCGAAACGTTATCAAACTTCAAACACAATAGTGATTCTGGTGACTAGGATTAGGAATGACTCCAGTGCTCGTGACTTCAGGTGGTGAATAATTAGTATGTGCTTGCTCTTACCAGAAGCTCAAGTCATATGCGCATGTAGTAATGATATCCCAACAAAACCCTGGTGGTCATTGTGGATCTGGTCATGGGCAGAAGGGGGCTCCACTGGCACTCTCATACAGCAGGGGAAACACTCCACACATCCAAGGGACAAATCCAGCACAAGGGGTGGAGAAGGGACTGCTCTTTAATACTTAATTCAGCCACGGCACTATTAGATGTCGATCTTCCTCCTTAAATGGCTCAGTAAATAGGCCACCAGACAAGGATCATATAGTGTAGTCATTTATTTGGATAGTGAGCCAAGTATTGCAAGTAGACAAATCAAAGAAAATCCAGCTTACTTCATATGAGATAAAGATGGCTGCCGGACCAACATGCGGCCTCGGCGGCATGACGTCAGCACGGCCAAGGCTCCTCCCACCCTGATATTATTAGGGAACTGTAATAGCTAATAAATAAATTTACACATATTGTTTGTGCATATACAGTATATCATATACATTATGTAAAGCCTACAGGTATTTTCACTGCCTGAACACACATAATTGTAACAGAGAGCATACAGAATGTCCCAAAACAGTCAGTAGTTGAAGGAAGAGTAAAGTTGCTGATAGGCAAGTATTACACAGTTCTTGTTTTCAGTTTATGAGAACGCAGAGGTATGAAAAAATACTAATTTTAAAATAGGCTTTAGGTCTGCTCTGAAGGATAACAGTAGAATAGAAGAGAACTAGTCCACAAGCAATGTTGAAATAAACTTTGTATTTGCAAACCATATACATACACTCATCGGCCATTTTATTAGGTAACACAATATGCTAATCAGCCAATCACATAGCAGCAACTCAATGCATTTAGGCATGCAGATGTGGTGAAGACAACTTGCTGCAGTTCAAACTGAGTATCAGAATGGGGAAGAAAGTGGATTTAAGTGACTTTGAAAGTGGAATGGTTGCTTGTGCCAGAGAGGCTGGTCTGAGTATTTTCAAAACTGCTGATCTACTGGGATTTTCACACACAACCATCTCTACGGTTCACAGAGAATGGTCTGAAAAAGATAAAATATCCAGTGAAGAGCAGTTGTGTGGACAAAAATGCGTTGTTGATGTTAGAGGTCAGAGGAGAATGGGAAGAATGGTTTGAGATGATAGAAAGGCAACAGTAACTCAAAAACCCACTCGTTACAACCAAGGTAGTCAGAACACCATCTCTAAGCACACAACACATCAAACCTTGAAGCAGATGGGCTACAGCAATAGAAGACCACATTGGGTGCCACTCCTGTCAGTTAAGAACAGGAAACGAAGGCTATAATATGCACAGGCTCAACAAAATTGGACAATAAAAGACTGGAAAAACGTTGCCTGGTCTCGATTTCAGCTGCGACGTTCAAATGGTCAGAATTTGGTGTAAACAACATGAAAGCATGGGTCCATCTTGCTTTGTATCAACTGTTCAGGCTGGTGAGTGTATTTAAACTGAAACATCTAGGGAACATCAGGAAATGTTAATTGTGCCCAAGTAGTATCCTGAAAATGTACCCTTTGTTTTGAATCCCTTATGATATAAAAGCAGTGTACCTCTAGGTATGGGAAGATGCCTAGGCACTCCCGTGCCCACATCCCTTTAGCTGTAAGCTGAGAAGGATCTGGGAGTTCTGGTAGATCACAAGCTTAATAATGGCATGCAATGCCAAGCTGCGGTTTCTAAAGCGAGCAAAATCCTCTCTTGTATTAAAAGAGGTATAGACTCCAGAGAGAGAGATATCATATTACCCCGGTACAAATCATTAGTAATACCTCATCTGGAATATGCAGTTCAGTTTTGGGCACCAATTCACAAAAGGAAAATTGGGGGACTGGAGAAAGTACAGAGAAGGGCAACCAAACTGATACAAGGCATGGAGGAGCTCAGCTATGAGGAAAGATTAGAGGAACTGAATTTATTCTCTCTTGAGAAGAGGAGATTAAGGGGGGATATAATTAGCATATGTAAAATACATCAGTGTTTCATATAGTGAATTTGGTGTAGAGTTATTCACCCTGAGGTCATCACAGAGGACAAGGGGGCACTCTTTATGTCTGGAGAAAAAAATATATAACCTCCAAACACGGAAAGGTTTCTTCACAGTGAGAGCTGTGAAAATGTGGAATAGACTCCCTCAAGAGTTGGTTCTGGCCAGCTCCGTGGATTGCTTTAAAAAAGGCCTGGATTCTTTCCTAGATACACAGAATATAACTGGTTACCAACATTTATAGGTAAAGTTGATCCAGGGAATATCCGATTGCCTCTCGGGGGATCGGAAGGAATTTTTTTCCCTGTAGGAGCAAATTGGATCATGCTTTGCTGGGCTTTTTTTTTGCCTTCCTCTGGATCAACTGTGGGTATAGGATTATAACTTTTTTTTTAATGGTTGAACTGGATGGACTTTTGTCTTTTTTCAGCCAGACTATATAACTATGTATATTTGCAGTATGAGATCTAAGGCACTGTGGCCTCTGACTGTTAATCTCATGGGATTAGGAGTGAGATATGAGGTAATTTTACCACTCTGCTTTCTGCAGAGGAATCTGCATCTCTCAGCTTCTGCTTCATTCCTTCTATGGGTCTGTGCTTTGTGAACACTTCCTTCTGTTTTTAAATGTTTCCCCCATTGCACAGAGCAGTTAAGTATAATATTCTTCTTTTTTTTTTTTTTTTTTTTTTTTTTATCTTTAGAATCACTTTAAGATTTTTCCTCCTGCTTGCTTATTTTGGGCACAGCTTCTACAGTCTATGTACCATTTAATGCACTATGCAAACATATTACTAAGAGTATATCAACAGATACTGGACCCCTCACATGGACAGCCACAGTACCACAGTAACAAAAAGATGTAGGGAATTGCGCAAAGGTACCAATTCTACTATATCTGAATAATTTAGAGAATTATACAATGTGGTCTGTACCTTTATATTGACAATGTATAATAGTTAATCATCCAAATTTGTTCAAGGTAAATTTCTATCAATTTAAATTCCCTGCCTACAATTGGGTATTTAAAATAAGGTTGATACCACTTTATATGATCATCCCGAAATCTGTTTTCTAATTTAATAATTATTTTAAAGTATATTTGTCAAAAAATACAATTTTCGTTATAGTGGTATTTCCATCATCTTGACATCTCCCTAGTTAATGTTAAAGGTGTGGCAAATCATGATCACAGATGCAGTATTTTTTGTGTTCAGTATGGTACATTTATGTCATTTATTGTTTATGTAACGAAAAAACAACTGACACCAAAGTGTACGTATAGTCAAAAATTATCTTTTTTAGTTTTGGGCAGAATGGGACTGGATTATAACGCAAGTGAGTTTTTTCTTTCTTTCTGTGTCCCCTTAGGAAGATTTTGCCTCACTTTCTATTCCTTGGCATGCCACAGGAAATTAGAGAAATTTTCTCCAAAATGAGGGGAATTCCCCTGTTAGACAGTTACCACAGGCAGGTGTCTGGAATTTGTTCTCTCTCATACTATTTCATCTGCAAAATGCTGGATTTATCATAATTTTCTCTCTTAGTCACCAGTGGCGACAAAGATCATCAGGACAAACAGAGAGGGTAATCTATCCATTGAGTGTAAGAAAAACTTGACAATGGGTCTAACCCTTGTCTACTCTATCCAAGACTAGAAAAAAAAAGGCTTTGCTATACATATATCTTTAACTTGCCAAAAAATCTAAATCTAAATAAAAATAAAAAGTTTATTTTATTAGGTCTATGGAATAAACCATCTGACAATTATTGTACAATATTGGAATAAGT